TTGTTCTTGGACACCTCTTCACTACTATGCTCTATTGGAAGCTGCTTCCTTTCGCAATCATCGACCATATCTAGTCCTGGGTGGGGAGAGTCCTCGGGGAAGGGCTGACCAGCATGCTCTCCACACACTCAACACCGTGTGTGGATCTGGTCGGCGTTGATGTGCTGCGCATCCTCGTAGAAGTCGCTGATCTCTTCCGAGTAAGCGTAGTACGCCGCCAGACGCTCGCGGATCTTCTCCTCGAGGTCCGAGGGATGCTGGGCGGTACGGTCCTTGATGTCGGACGTCGGGGCAGGGTTGTAGAGGGCGTGGTAGCGGTTGCCGCTGACGGCGTCTAGAGATCGCAGGGTGAGGCGCTCGTAGAAAGAGTCGTTGGGCACATCCAGAAGACACCCTGATGGACCAAAGAAAATGAGAGAAAATCGTGTTGGAAAGGTACAACCAAAAATCACATGTATGGTGAGATTCGTATGTAGATGGGAGTATACTGGTATACCCAGATAAAACAAAGTAAAACAAGAGAGAAGTGTAGAAAACGTAAACAAGGTTATACAGTGAATGCGACCTGTGCCCCTAAAAACTAGAAAAGGAACAATATGCTAGTTATCAGTGAGCTAAATTATATTCTGCAGGATTTTTCACATTTTTTTCCATATTATGGTAAGCTACAATTTCAATGTACCAAGTTACATATATATGAAGATCATTGTACATACAAAATCGAATATGGTTTAAAAGGATTATATATATATATTTGTATATACATGTACATGTTAATATACATATTAAATGATTAAAACAATTGAAATAAATATCCTTGAGAGTTTACTTCTTTGATATGAGCGGTTTCAATTTCATTTCTTCAGAAACCGGTCGTAGTGAAGAAGTGAAATCTTAAAGATATTTACTCCAATTGTTACAATCATTATTTGTATATATTACTGTGAGGGAGGATTACCCATATTGAATCATTTGTTCTTATATATATATATATATATATAAAAACAAAACACACATACACAAACATACATTGGGACCGATGAAATAACCTTGTTACACCAGGGGCGGTATTCTGAACCCTGTGTTATCTCTAATATTGTTGTATCTTTGGAGATAAGATGAAGTTGGTATTCTGAACATTGTTGTAACTTTTGTGTTATCTTTTGTTGTATCTTTTCTCTCATCTCATTGGCCGCGCCTGCGCTCATAGTTTGGTGCGCTTGTAATTGTGCGTATTATTGATAAAGTGGCGTTTAATCCTCATTTGCATATGCGCACAAGAGATAATATGTCGAGATAATTGGTATTCTGAAAGTTGTATCTTTTATCTTATCTTATCTTGCATGGTATTTACAACAATATTTACAACAGGTAGGGGGTTGTTGTATCTTTTGTGGTGATATAATGGCGGCAATATTTCTTGCCCAAAACCAACTTCGTGCCAATAAACAAGTAAGAAGAAGATTGTGTGTTGACCGGAAACATCACAGATGAGAACTTTCTAAGAAATTACATGCTAGGATATGACGATTTTAATGCTCTCATCTTAACCAACATAGTGAAAGCGTGATTTGT